GGGATCATAGATAGGTGACTAGAGAAAGCTATAGGCATCAGTGAATTCAAGAATTCACTGACGGCTGCTACCATGAGTGACCACGCGCTGTCACAAGTGACGGCCAAGTGGATCTGGACAGCTTCAGCAGAAGCGCTGGATTCCGCAAAGGAGAGAACAATGCTGGTGCACAGAGACCACATCAGAATGGGCATGACAATGACAGCTTCTTTGCCAGGAAAGTCCCATTGAAGAAATGAATGGCTTGTTGAGCGCAGAGGATGTAGAGGCTGCGCAGGCTGTGGGCAAGGTAGCGAGCGCCCCCTGTAGATGATACAGACCCGGGTGAATGGGAGGTGTTGCTTGAAGTTCCTACAGGAGCTGATGATTCAAAAACCAGCAGCAGATCCTATCTCTCTCCCGGGGCATGGTCCACACCCAGTGTGGACAAGATTGGGTTAGCGCCTGGATCCCGTATCCAGCGCCGTGTTCCTGAGTCAAGTTTTCAGGTGTTCATTTCAGATGAGAATGGGTTCCGTTGTAGCAAGACCTTCAGATGGTCCTCGGATGTTTCCATGGAGGAAGCGCTCCACAATGCTTTGGCCTGGAGTTGGAGCCAGCAATGACCGTCAGTCATGCATGTGCAGGGAAAAGACCGTGTTGCTGCCTTTTTTTCAATTTTTGCTGGGTTTTTTGCTTTTCATCATTTTGAACATATATTTCACTGGTTTGCAATCTTAACTACCGAGCTTTGATGTGCCACCAAACCGGTCGAAGAGATCAGGCGCTTTTTGTGCCTTTTTGCAACTTTTCACCAGTTTTTTGATTTTTTGACTTGGGACATTTTTTCCCCCTGGCTTGCCATCTTATCTCTCGAGTTTGGATGTGCCATCAATCCGTTAACCGGTATATATATACCTAGAACCCATTTGACCTCATTTTTGATAGGAAAAGACCTTATTTTGAGTGGTTGGTGGTCCAAAATCAAGGTCATTCAGGTTCTAGCTATGTATACATACCATCCAATTTGGAACTTGGAACTCTCGCTGTTGAGACTTTTTCATCTTCTCCCTCCGACCAAGGGATGAGCGACATCCCCACAGAGCTTAAGACGGCCCAAAGCTACAGTTGCTGAGCAGGGACTCCCAGTGCATGCACATGGCATCCACATGTTTCGCCCTTTTGCTCGTCGAAATGAAGGTTCATTTTCGTAGTGGCTTAAGGCATTTCTTGGAGCTTGTACCTTGGAACGATGGGAAGCATGGTTGTTGAGCTCTGGAATGGCTGCAGGTCATGAACATGTGAAACGAAGCTCGCGAAACAACACGTTGTGGAGAAGATTTGTTTCGTTCGTGCTTCTTGGGGTGAATTTCCTTGCTTTTCAGGTCTACCAGCCACCCCTGACATCGAAATTCAGGCCTTTGCTGATCGATCTATATATAGTACCTAAGGCTCCAAGGCAGTACGACCACGTTTGGGCTCCAAGGCAGGGGTCACATGGGTTGTGTTGGATGTTCCTGCAGGTATCTATCCTATAGGGCTCCAGTCGTACCTTCGTTTCGAAGCTTTTTGGGGTGGGTGCCAGGGTCGGGTCCAGTCATGCCGAACCTGAGGAGGTACGACTGGAGCCCAAACGGGAGGATCTTAGTGAAAAGGATTCTTATGGAACCCACCCTTTTCCATTGAAATTAAAGAAATTGTGTATATATAGTAAATATTGTCTTTAGGGGACCTGAAAGGGAACCTCCTTCTTTTACTTCAGCCAGTCAAATAATAGTCTTTGGACTTCTAGGGTATAGTTAATATATAATGAAAGGATCTGGTGAAAAGGATTCTTATGGAAAAAGGATTCTGGTGCTCGACCCCCCCCTTTCCATTTGACATGATGTGATGGCAATTTGGGTGCACTTCTGACCGGAGTGGACGGCTTTGGATGCGAACCCTTTGTCCGTTACTTCATCGCCAGCTCAGGTTGCATGCTGAAAAAGAATTCTCTCCTGTCGAAGAATTCTCTCGGTGCCACCGTTGGAGCGCTGAAATCGTTGGTGAAAACACTTCTACGACCACTCAACGTTCACCTCCGCCCCTGAAGCTTTGCTTACCATTAGCTAGCTCAGCAACTCAGCAGTTCGTTTACAAAGGGGTTGACGACTCAGCAGTTCGTCTCCATGGGTGAAATCGACTCCGCGCGCGCCTCGTTGAGAGCCGATCATGATCATCATGAGTCGATCTCCGTGGGGACCCAAAAGGAGAGAAGAAGCGAAGCCCGAGGTGGGTCAGAACCCTACCTGTAGTTCGACTAACTCGGTATTCCAGGATACCAGGGCCATACTGTAAATCAGGCTACCTCTCTAAATTTTCAGATACAAAGCCTTCGGCCTCATCCCCATCGTGGCTTTGTGGAAAAAAAAACACCTCGCCTACTTAGGTTGCAGGGGCCTCCGCTGAAGATGAGATGCCGCCCGCTGAGTTTGGGGTTGGACGCGGGGCGACTGTGAAACGGTGAGGTCGTGGTAGTATCAGCTCAGGGTGGGTGACCATGTGGGGTTAACCAGGTGTCCTTGCCCTAGGGCTCCAACTATATCCTCAGGTTCGGTAGTTAGACCCCCCCTGGCACCTACCTCAACCACCTTCAAAACGGAGGTGGTTGAAGCCCTATAGGGTTGAATCATCTTGAATCACGAGTATTAGCCTACCTACCTGCGTGGCAGGCGGTGCCATCCAGTGTTACGTCCCCTGCCTTTGTCGTGCATCAAGTTATGCACACTGGATACTTGTGGCTTTCAAGGCTCCCAACTCGGCCTCCCAAACTGCTCGGGGTGGCAGAGGATCCATGTGCCCCCTTTTCAACCCCCAGAGCTTCGTCTCACGTGACGAGACGAAGCTCTCCTTCACAACCACTAATTGTGCACACGAGCCAATCATTCTTACAAGCTTCCAACTGCCTCCATTCAGGTTGGTCATTGATCAGAGTTACAAAAAGGATCAAAAAGGGTTCCCCATCCCACCCCTTTCCATGGGCGGACCAGAGGAGAACAGTTTGAACACCTCTCCAGCTTGATGGGGAGGCAACTTTGAGTTGGTAGGGTAAGGGCTTTATTGGAAACCTGGTTTTGCTAAGGTACCTTTTTTCCCTATATCGTTAAATCCACTTCTGGGGAAGATTCTTTATGTTTGTCCCGGCTTCCCTGGGAGTCGCAAGTCCAAGAAAGAGAGGGCGACCGTCCGGTGTCCGTCGGCCTTGTTAGTTTGAGCGTGAGATTTGATGGGAGAACAAGCGACCACCCGCTGAGCTCCTTTACTCGTCGGGTCGGTTTCGTTGAAACAAGCAACGCAGGGCTCCCGTGTTGAATACCAGTTACTGCAGTTGGGTCACATCGATGACCTGAAAAACTATACCAACAGAGGTTATTCAGGACCCGACCGTTCGACGATCCTAGGAACCGGTAACCCCTCTGAACCTCCCTTGGACTGTTTGGGTACTTGCTCAGCCACTTGCGAGAGGGGCCCACCTTGGCTACCGCTTAGCTTGGCTTCTGCCCCCCCAGGCGAGCGATGCTGATCGCTGCCGGGCCACTGGGCTGGTCTTCTTTTTGGTCTTCTGCAGGAGGGAAGAAGCAATGCCAAAACAACCCCAGACCATCCATGCACCTATTTACATTGGGGGTGATTGACCTGGGGTCCATGGGTGGGGTTGCATATATTACTGTATGATATTCTTCCAGTCAGATGGATGGTTTGGGAGTCTAAGACCTCGGAACATCCCGAGATTTCTGCACCTCGGTCCGATTGGTTGTCCGAAGCAACATGTCGCAGCATGTGGGAGCCAGTGATGCCGAACAGCGCGTTTGGTGTGCGAAATCAATGGGAGAGAGCAGCGAACGGGGAGGGCCTGATTCGTGACCGGTGGCAACCCTATAGGGAAAAAGGATGAAAACGGCAAGCAAAAAACGCATAACTGCAGTCATCGCATTTTTAACTTTGCACCGTTGCATATCTTGACAAAGTCTACTTCGAAGAGCTCCAAGCGTCAAAAAGATTGTTTTACAAATATCCTCTTCTCTGAGAAAAAAAGCACTCAGCAAGCCTGGGTCGACCGTTTGCCCTTCTCCTTCAGCCCCCTCTTGTTGGGGTGAGTGGGCATGACTCCTGTCTCCAGCAAGGTGGGTTTGGGTGGAAGACCCTTCGGATAAACGGGTTGTTGCTGTCTTGAATTGTGGTCGGCTCGCTGGCCCATCCTGCAACTTTCTGGTATAGGATTCACTTGGTGGTTTGCGTACCTCCTGAGGTTCGGTATGACTGGACCCTCCTGGCGCCTTACCCCAGTCACACGAAACGAAGGTGCGACTGGAGCCTACCACTGTGGTGCCTTTGATGGAGAGGTAGCCCTTTTCCATGACTGTTCCTAACTGAATTTGGACGAATCCTAGTGAATTTTAAACATTCACCGGTTGCAAGATTGGGAACCATGAGGTCACAAGTGGGTCACCGATACCTCCAACCCTTCCTCCAGTGCCGAACCAACATGTTTTGCCGTCCGGCGTGCTGATCCATGGAGATGAGGAGTGCACTGCGTTGGCTTCCGGTGAACCCCCCGCGGTCTCGATGCACGAAGCAATGACATGAAAACACGGCTCTGAGGTTCACTGATATTCAAATCCAGGTGAAAGAGAATGCAGCCGCAGGGGCCTTATCTCGAAGTCGCGGCCTACACGGCATAAGCAGTGTAGCACGTACACCTTCTCAGGTTCGGTACGACTGGACCCTCCTGGCACCTATACATAACAGTGTCGAACACATCACCGTACCTGAGAAGGTACGACTGGATCCCTATAGGGATAGATGCTCTGCCATGTCGGAAGAAGCTATGACCATAAGCGACAAGTGAGAACCAGTGGCACCGTATCAAGTGAGAAGCAGGCGGCACTGAAACCATCTGAAACCGTGTGTTTGTTAGTCTATTGTCCGACATAATTAGATGAACGTCGTCTACACTACCATACTTCAGGTCTGTGTAGTTTACGTGATTGGCTAAAGGACTTGATATCTCCTAGCAGTCTCCCAGTCCATGTGCAACAAAAAACAACACATGTACGGCACGGTTTTATCCCACATCCAGGAGAGGTGAAGTTAAGTTGAAGTGACCTGAAAAAGGGACGCCGGTCACCAGCAGTACCTATATGGGGTTCTTCAACCTCCGTTGGATCTTCGAAAGCCTTCCACCCTTCAGTCGCTGCACCTTTGGCACCGAGGACATCATTAAGGACTGGATGCCGGGCAGCGGTGTACCTCGGCATATCTCAGCTTTTTGCTGCATGAATCTTCAATCCCAGCTGCAATGAAAAGTCACCCAGATGTTGATCGCAAATTTCTAGTCGTTAACTTAGCGTGGGTTATTTCCCCACCTGTCAGGTATGGGTTGTTGTTTGATTTTAGAAGAGGATCCCGCAACTCCTTCTCCTTCTCTCCGCCGCGCAACAGCAAACGCCAGATCACAGTGGGCACTCCCGGACCTCAACAGCAAAGGCCAGATCACAGGTGGGCACTAGCGGACCTCAACAGCAAGCACCAGATCGCAGTTGGAACTAGCTGACCCCAACAGCAAGCTACAGCAACATGGCCATATACCCAGATCAGGCACTACATTACATGTCTGGGCACGTCGAGACACGGCGCACACGTCATCATCATCATCATCATCATCATCATCATCATCACGGTTACCTGTTGTCATCTCCTACTGTACTTTTGGGCCACCCCGTCGTATAGCTGTTGGTTGACATTTTTGACTTACATCTGCTACCTTGCTTGCTTGCTTGCTTGCTTGCTTGCTTGCTTGCTGCTTTTTGGCTTGTGAGGTGATCCGGTCAGTTTCATTGGGGTGAATAGATGTTAGTGTTTTCTAGATTGGGGAAGCAAATATAACGAAAGGTTGCCTCAGTAACCTTGCGTTTCATTGGCTTTTAAGACCCGGCTCTCCCTCCTCTGCTTCGTTCTACCGGGGCTTCGAGTGATTGGATTCGTATCGGGATCGAGCTTCTCCTCCCTCCTCGTTAGTTTGTTTTTTTTGCTACTGGTGCTGGAGCTTTGGTGTGGCTGGATTGGCATTGAGTTTCTCAGCTCCTGCTGCTTCTGCTGTTGTTAGTTTGTTGCTGTTGCTGCTGCTTTGCTGAATTGCTGCTGCCGCTGTTGGTTTGTTGCTGCTGCTGCCGTTGCTTTGCTGCTTTTGCTGCTGCCTCCTGTTGGTTTGTTGCTGCTGCTGCTGCTTTGCTGCTACTGCTTTTCTGCTGGTGTGCTGCTGCTACACACCCGTCACCAACCTTTCGTCCACCCCCCCTTTTTCTCAAGCTTGTTTGCCTGGGAGGGTATGATGATCCATTATGCGCCTGGCCAGAATCCCTGGGGCATTTGTGTGAGGCGGCGCGGGGACGCGAGGCTGAACAAAATTCTATACATAAATTTACATTCCTTTGCATTTACATCATTGAAATCACAACAGTTCGATTTTATGGACATCATCTTAATCATTTTCTCCTCTTGCCGAATATGGTCGCAACATCTTTCTTCGAACTCAATCTTCTCTGCGCCATGGGTCATGGATTACCTCTTTCCGAAGCAAACCAAACACGCGAGCGCTGAACGAAAACCCAGGCTGAGCGGTATATCACCAGTGCCTACGTCACCGCAGTCAAGAAGGTCAACAAAAGCATCCGCGACGACGTCCGGAGCCAAGTTCGGCTTTCCGGGCGAAGGGTCTGCTTTGAAGGAGGGAGGGTGGGACTGGGAGGTTTTGGAAGAGGTTGTCTCCAAAACAAACATCATAGAAAACTGGACTTCAAACAGGTCTTTGCGGTAGTTTTGGTCAAAGTGTGTTTGAGGGCACTGGCAACTGAACAATCTATATAATGTAGAGACTGAGGCCTGGCTTGAACGCATTGAGCAGTGACCAGAGGTCGTTAGGAAAACATCTCTTTTGAAGGCCCCTACTACAACCAGTTATACACCAGGATTGGTCATTCCTGACACATACACCACCGAAGACCCACCACCTTCCCCAAGTGGACCCTGCAATTGATCATGAGGTCTACCGCAAATGCTGCGCCGGGGCCTCACAGTTTGGCGGGCGGCTGCACAAAGATGCTGGCAGAGCGGCAGGGGATGTTAAGAAGACCCACGAAAAGGGGTCCCTTCAGCGTGGAGGAACAACTGACACGCATAATAGATTTGCTCAGATGCTTGAGCATTTGTGACTGGACCTTGGCCACTCTTGTTCACCCAACTCATGGTCTCCTCAGCTCCGTGTTGGAAACTGTTCCAGTTTTGAAGGGGCAGACGGGCACCAAAACTGGGACCTGGCGTAAAAAACTATCTAGTTCTTTGTAGTGTGTTTTTGTGTGTTGTTTTTGTTGTTTTTCGGGGTGTTTCTTTTTGAATGGGCCCTTGGCCCTCCAGCACGCCATGCGTTGACCTCGAGGAACCGCTGCCAGTCTTAGAGGAGGGCCCCAGTGGGCCCGGCGCCAGGCGCCTCAGGTCGGAAAAGGACGGAGAATCGAGTCGGACTTGGCTGGAGGCACTCACTTGGGATCACTTACCCCAGGGCTCCAGTCGTGTTGAAGGTGGGACTGAGGTGGGTGCCTGGGGAGAAGGTCCAGTCACTTGGGATCACTTACTAGCATGGACTTCGGGGAAAGCCGATAGCCTTACGACGGATTATGGCGACTAAAGCCTTGTCCCCGTAAGTAAGCTAATTATGGCGACTTCTGACTGGTCATGGATTTTCAGTACCCTAGACCTTCCAACGGCTAAAATATTCTAGTACGATTGGGTCGTTGTATTAGTTTCTGATGCTTCGATGGAAAAAATGGTAGTTGTCAGAAACGACTGATTTTTGCTTAACGGTGTGATTTGGGTACGCTCCACAGATTTTGATCCGAGTAGCCATCACCGGCTATCACACATCTATATTTAGGGGATGACTTCCGTATTTATCAACCCATCCATCCATCAGCCATCCCATTGGACGCAGTGGAAGACGCCAGTCATCATCGACCCGGCAAAAAACCGACCTTCAAGTTTTTTGCGGCCTTCTTGATGACGATAACTGGATTAATGCCCAGCTGCCAAGTGTCTTCATTTACCTTTATCATTATATAATGAACGGCTTCGAATTCCGGTGGAATTGCAAGATGCGATGCAGGATATGTACAAAGAAATGAAAAAACTGGCTACAGGGTTGCAATAAGTTTATCCTTGGTCAATGGCAGGGATAATTCGATATATAATAAATACATTGATGTCACCACGACAAATTAGGAATTGATAAAAACATCTGTCTCTTCATGCCCAGGCTGTGACCTCTGAAGACCTACATGGAGTGGAAAGCACTTAATGTTATTCTGAGGTTTCGGAGACAGAATTTGATGAAAACCCACGACCAGTTTTACCCGCAAAACGCCCGCAAAAACCCTCAAAACGCCGCTAAAAACTCGCAAACGCCCACAAATCCCAGAAAGTAGGTCAAATGGGTTTTTGAGAAACCTCTAAATTCGTTGAATTGCAACTCTTTTGGGCTGAATGTCATGAGTAGGATTGCCTGCTCGATTTGGACAATCTTTGGTCATAAGCTGTTCGGGAGAAAATGAGTGCCTATAGTCATGTTTTCCTACGAGCATGATGTCGACATGAGTTCATTTGTTAGCACAAATGCAATTATGGTTCCTTTTGCATACTCGTATATCATTACCGTATCTTGTAGTTTTGCTGCGCTCGAGCCTGCTTATAATTCTTGGAGCTCTAGGCCAATGCATGATCGACCAGGGATTAGTGAAAGCCGCTATTTCTTAGAGGGGTATATCGACTGCCCAAGCGATGGCAAACCCAGCTGCACTTGATTTTGCCACATGTTTTGGGCAAGCATAAGAGATCATACTTTTGAACTCCCGTGAAACCGACCAATCATCATCGTCATCATCATCATCATCCTCATCCTCATCCATCAGGCATCCAGAGGCCACGGGGAGGGCAGTGTGTGACCATGCACGACCACTCTTTGTTTGAATCGTATGTGCTCGACCACTTTTCAACTGATCGTCGCAATAAAGTAGTACAAACCACATCGACCAAAATATTTTGGGATTTTGAAGGTCTAGGACAACCCTTAGGGCCCCAGTCGTGTTCTTAGAAGGTGGGACTGAGGTGGGTGCCTGGGGAGAAGGTCCAGTCATACCATCGTTTCGGAGGTACGCCCTAGAGTTAGGTGTTGGTGAAACCTTGTGACTGAACGGCTCCGAAATCGGGCTTCCCCGGGCCGGGTGAACTCTAGGGCTGAACGAGGGTGAGGTGAGGTGCGGTGCAAGTTCGCTGGTGTCTCGCTTCATGGTCGAAGAGGATCAAGGACGCGTACATCCTCCCTTTCGGCCGGGACATCCGACCGAACTGTCTCATCATAAACCATTCCATGATATTCCATGAGTGGCTGTGGACTCACACACCGTTTTGGATAGCAACTGACAACCACAAGGCTCACTGCAAATCACAGATGTGGACACAGAGCAATGACACTCCCAAGCGCTCCATTTACATGTCGCACATTCACCACGTAAACCACGTTTACTTGGCTTCGCTTGGTGTCCTTTAAGGAGCGTTTGAGTTCCTTGCCGCATTGGTCTTGTTCACGTTTGGTAGCCAACCATTCCAAGAGAGGTTAAGTGACCTTATAGGGCCTTACTGGGGTACCTATGGGATAGCCGAACTAGGGTCCTCTGTTGGTTTTGCATGTGTTTCTTGTCACCAATGTGCCAGCGACCCTTCAAAGTGACCCTTTAGAGTCCCTGTAAAGGCGACCTTTTGGCCGAAACCAACGAAGCAACCGTGAAAACCATTTAGGTGAACCACCGGTCACTTGGACGAACACGATGGTGTTTCGGGTCCGATGGTGCGGCGCCTGGTGATCCACTGAGGCCTGAGGTTAAGCGCCGCCGGAGTCCTACGCAGCGAATGCCGAGCTGCTCGCGGCGGATTCCGCGGGCGTTCGGCGGCGTTGGGCGGCTCGGGGCGCTCAGTGAGCAGTCCGAGGACTCCGAGGGACGAGGTTGGAGCTGCGACTGGAGCCGGCTCCAGTATACCGTGAGGTTTTTGGTGTGGGTGTGGTGCCA